TACACACACACACACACACACACACACACACACACACACACACACACACACACACACACACACACACACACACACACACACACACAGTATATAGTGATACAATTGTGAAAGTAATTGATTGCAATAACTACTTAATTAGAATAAAAAGTAATTTTGTGAAGTAATCTGATTATTTCCTGTTCTGGATGGTAATTTGAATTACAGGTTAAAGTTATCTTGTCTTGCCTCTCCCAAATATGAGTAGGGATGCCAAGTCACTTTGCAATTCACATATTTGATGCAAAAGACTTGCAAATGGAGTCAGTAACACTCCCTATGCAGTAAATTTATTTTTTCAAAGAGTAAATTTAGCAAGGCTGATTTTAAATAATAAATGAAAGGAACATAAATCCAGCTAGTTGCTACATGAAAGCAAAAACTACAAATAATACACACCCATGAAATACCACAAACAATAGATTCACCAATAAAAGAACTAATGTATGCTCATGCCTGAAACACTATGTACTCCAGTGAAATACTGTATAGGTCCTCTGAGTTGAGGAATGGGAGATTATAACAAAATAACATTTTCATCTCCTTGTTATCCGGTGAAGACATTGGCATTTCTGCTGATAGCTCAATACGACTTTTGATTCAGAAGGATTCTGCTTGTTCTTGATTTGTTTTTGCACTTTTATGAAATACATTGCCATGCAAAGCTAGGGGAGAAAAATGGCAACAAATGTGTTAATAAATCAAGGCTGTGGATGAAAAGGTAGAAAATAGGAAGTATTGAAAAGGAGGCTATTTTATGCATAATAGTATAAGAGACGATAAAGAATAATACTAAAAGAATACAGGGCAAATATCTGGCAGTCTTTGTTCAGGCAAAACTCCAGTTGGCTTACATTCTTGTGATAATTAAATGATTTAGTAGACTCAAGGTGAAAAAGCGAGCAGAACAAGTCATTTATTCATTCTTATTTATATTAAGGTCATGGCCAAAGGCCCCAATCAGCAATTGGGTCCTGTTGTGCCAGGCACTGAAAAAACACATAAGACGACACAGTCACTGGAGGGTTTACATTTTAAAAGACAAAACCCAGGAATGAGGTATTTGTAATTGCAGTAGTTTCATTGAAGTCACACAGTATTGAAGAACATCACTGAGGCAATAATTGTCGGCTATGGGATTGAGGAGCAATAGGGCTATAGGAAGAGGCATTTATTCATGTGATTCCAAGTCAGAGGATATGTCTACACTACCTGCTGGATTCCAGGAGCACCACCAGCTTTTCTGCTGCCCTAGGCGGCGGAAGGTCCCGCCCCGAAATGCGGCCCCCCACAGAGGCGGCGGAAGGTCCCGCCGCCGAAATACTGCCGTGGTCGCCGCCCCCCAAATTGTAGTGCCCTAGGCGACTGCCTAGGTCGCCTAATGGGTTGTGCTGGTGCTTCCGGATTCGCGGGCAGCGATCGATCCAGCGGGGATCGATTTATTGTGTCTAGTGTAGACGCAATAAATCGACCCCCGAGCGCTCTCCCGTCGACTCCTGTACTCCACCGCCGTGAGAGGCGCAGGCAGAGTCAACAGGGGAGCGGCAGCAGTCGACTTACCGCAGTGAAGACACCGCGGTGAGTAGGTCTAAGTACGTCGACTTCAGCTACCTTATTCACGTAGCTGAAGTTGCGTAACTTAGATTGATCCCCCCACAGTGTAGACCAGGTCAAAGACTCCCTCCTACAGTCCCTATCTTCAGATAGCATTAATGTTGAGAGGGAAGCTGTCAAAATTCTATTTCAAAGAAACACACATGTAGGACCTGATTCTGAGCTCATTTATGCCGTGTTAACTCCTGACTGCAGGGTTGCTACTATTGACTTACCTTTGTATAAATGAGATCAGTATCAGGCCCTTAATTTCCATAGACATGGGGCCCCGTTTTACAGTCCTTACTTAGGGTCGAATCTGCTCCCCTTGAAATCAATGGGAATTTTGCAATAATGCTTAGTTGTTACTCAGGCAAGATCCCATTGCGTCATATCACTCCCCAGTGACGCACTTGTAAATCTGATGACCGCTCTTGACATCAGTGGACTCCCTCTGTTTACCTGGGGAAAAATGTGGTGGTGTTTTTTTCAGTCGAGTAACCTTAACAGGATTGAAGCCAAGTAGACACACTTTAGCACCCTTTCAATTATTAACTGGTTATGTTATAAGCTTAGCCTAGGCTCTTCTAAGAACCTACGAATGGCCATACTAGGTCAGACCAATGGTCCATTTAACCCAGTATCCTG